ATAATAATGATGATGATGATGATGATGATGATGATGATGATGATAATAATAATAATAATAATAAGATTTTGAGTCAATAAAAATCGTACATTTTGCTACACATTATTTAGACCGCCCATTTTCAAGATTTTCATATGTTTATAGATCAATTTGATTTTAACCATTTTTGGACTTTAAAATTTTATAATTAGATATGAAAATAGATTTTCTGATAATCCTAGAAATTTTTTACACAAAAATTATATGTTATGATAAAATTTGGAGGTGCACCTTAATTGGATTGTTTAAGGTTGCAACCTCATAGAACCACACCCATTAATTTAACATTCAACAAGTCCTGAAAAACTCAGTGACCTTTATAACTCAAATCTTTAGAAGCTATGAAGTTGTTATATAATTCAACAAACTCCCTCATGTTGGGTGACAAAAAATGTTACATAAAAATAGTAGAGACGCAACGTTTACTAATGCATGTTTGAAATTGATTCTTCGCAAGGGCAAACGATTGAAGTTCTTAGACAGGAGGGTAACATGAGGAACCAACGGTTCGTCTATTTTCAGTACTTCGCTACAAGGGAACATCGGGCAAGAATAAAAAAAAATTCTATTTTTATGTGTAATTTTATTTTATTTTTATCGTAAAATGCTCACTTAGCAACATTTTCCTCGTTTCCTCTGGACCATTAGTACTATCATACTATGGCAACTGTGTAAGTGTTGTTTCTCCATTTTTATAAAAAACATAAAATTATTTTATTTTCACGTTGCAAAGAAAAAAGGCACATGTTTTTTAAATAGTGGGTGGTATCATTGAGGGTTTTTTTTTTAGAGTGAATCAGTGGGATGTCGGGCCCCTACTCGTTTTATCGAAGAATCAAAAGAGAAATTACATGAACAGTTTTTATACAACCTTTGGAAAGTGAATACTGGCAACATTAGATACAATGAAAAGTACAACAAAATCAAGGGGGCGAGCATGCCACACAATTGCTTCATACAAAGAGACCGTTGCTTTAGCCAAGGAGTCTGAAGCCATATTGGCCTCTCTATAAACGT